CCCCAACTCCTCTCTCAAATAGCAAATTTTCTTGCTAATGCCTTTGAATGAGCGTAGATTCTCCTGTATGGCTGTTGGCAATTTGCCCTTCACAATTTTGGGTGAAACTTTTCTACCCATTTCTGGATTGACCTCTGCAACCCATTGAATACCTTTTTGAAATTTCAAGGGCTCGTTAGCTAGCCTGTAAATTGTGGTGCCATTGACCTTGCACGTTTATTTTAAGCAGTGTCCATAGTTATTGAGTGGAAGATTTAGGGAAACAATGTGAAGTTGGCCGCAGTTTATCTTCACTTCTTAAAATAACACAGATACCTCAGAGAGTGGTGTGATCTTTAGTGACATTTTAATTCTGTTGGCACACTTTGAAATAGCCAGCTGGGGCATCGCAGATAGACTATGGTTTTAAAGCCTTGCAGATACCATCTAAATGCCAAACTTTTGAGCAGCAAAATAATGCATTTGTACATAGATTAAACATGCAGCAATCAGAAGTGCCTCACAACACATGCCAGTAATTGTGAACAGCTGCATTAAAACAATGCAGCTGTTAAAACTCCTCCATGCCCCACAATACATGTATTTGTCTGTTCCAAATATTACTCAAGGGTATATCTGTACGCTTTTTCTGAGGATACAGAGAATCATTTGGGATGCATTCATTTGGGGAAATCAGTCCTTGATTATATTCTGTCAAGGGAAGGAAAGGTATAAGCAGACTCACAGACATTCAAAAAAATAATCCAACCCCATTCTCACACAGTAAACAAACAGCGTCTTGCCCTTAGGATCTTTGCTTTGGTGTCTGAGAACAAATATCACTGTAACAATGTTGTATACTGCTTGTGTGTATGGTGTCTACTATGTTGCAGTGCTAACTCCTCGCAGGCTTTAGCTGTATCTGCAAAATACACAGTGCTGCTACAGACACACATAATACTCTATTTTGGCTTGATTGCTGTTCTTTGTATACTGTGTTTGGCTGCTCCTTATTCTAAAGAGGAAAAAATTCCTGGCCAAATGTTGAGCCAGTTTACAAGGGAGCAGGCGAGTATATTGAAGGGCAGAGCACTCGGATGTGTCAGCATAAACTGTCTGTCTCCATGTGTTAGGACAACTCTCTGGCCCTTTTCCATGGAGTCAGTAATCTAGGCTCTGAGAGGCATTTGTTAAAAGAGGTAATAAGTTTAGATACAGAAAAATTTTTTTCTTCTTTTTTCAGAAGAATTGCTCCCCTCTTAGCGGGTAATAATGCCTGCTGTTTTTATGCCAGCTATAGTCATTGAGTTAGAGCGAGCCTGGCCTGTATGGGCAGTCTGAAAAAGTTATCACATTTGAGTCACTGAAAAAATGACACCCTTCAAGTCATACGTACCAGCAACCTAATCAAGCAGCTGGACAGGATTTTACGTGCTATGAGGACATGAAAGACTCTAAGATCTCTTCCCCAAGCGATTGAACCCAAGGTTGAGAGGCATTAGCTTTTATTGCCAGAACCTTTTTAGTGTCTTGAGTAGCATACTTTTGTTAGGAAAATACATAGTGTTATTCACTGCATAAAGCATACCAAATTTGTCACAGGACTGAGACAGTAGAGGCAGGTTAACTGATCACATTCTTTGTGGTTTTGTTTCCTACAAATTGCTTCATTTTACATTTATTTGTATAGCCAGAGGTATTTGCTTTGCACTTGTTACTTTAATTTAAAAGCATTAAACGTAGGATGATTAAAGATGAGAAAATTGAATGTGACTTAATCATTATGCCATATCAAGCCAGTAGCAAAATGGAGACAAGAATCCTGGGAGTGCTCTAGCCTCTTCTAGCATGTCAGCGCGTAGCTGTGAAAGTTATGGGTAGCAACAGCTAATGTTATTCTGTGCCTGTTGCTGAGGCATGTTTTGTGCCAGTGAGTATTTGAGGACTGGAACATAAAGTTGAAAAAATTCTTTCACCATGATGGAAACCAGTCTTGTCATCAGCATTGTCATCGTGCTGTCTGTCTTGGGTTTCCCTTGAGGAAGCCTTCAGCAGCCTGCGATTCAACCGCAGAGTGTTCATGTCATACAAAGGAGACCGAGAGCAAAGCTGTCAAGATCTCAAACTAGGAAATACAGGGGACGCCTGCACTTCTGCGTGAGGGGCTTCACTCTGGCAGTCTGGCGTGCTTCGTGTGCACTGTAACTTCCTACAGGATTCCGCAGCAGCACAGATCTGATTTTGACTCTGCTGCCAGTTTACAGACAGCCTGACTAAAAACTTCTCGAGGCTGACATGACCATACTGTTTGTAGTGCTTTGAGACAAAGAGCAATGTTGTTTTTCTTCTCTATATTTATGTTAGTAGGAAGATACGAGAAAGTCAAGAAAATGATGACTCTTCGAAAGTTAGCCAAAACTTTCTTGGTGCTGCTTTTGAATCTCCAGTGCTAGTGTGAAGTCAAATGTCCATTGAATTCAATAGTTTCATGAGACTGCCAGAAAGACGGCGAGCTTGAATAATAGCCGTTTGACCCATGTCCAAAAGTTTACTGATCAAAAAGTTTCTAAAGCACTGTTGGTTTACTTCCCAGAACCTGAAGTAGCCTTGGGATTTGGCAGTTGCTCGGCAGTCATGCGTGAGCACTGGTGCTTCCTGCGCTCCTGGCCAAGTCTACATTGATGGAAAAGCTTGCATTTTGGAAAGTGGAAACATTTCTCAGAATGTGACTCTTCTTACCTGTGAATTTGAATAGTATGTGAATATATTTGGGAGTGAAACTTTTGTCCCCTTTTTTCAGAAAGTGGGGGGGGGGTTGTGTGTGATATGTTATCTGAATTGCATGACATGCTTAATGGCATTTATCTTCTTTTTGAAAATCGACTGAATCTGCTCCTGTTATCCCAGTGTTAGGATGGGAAAAGAATAGTTTTCAGTTGAGTTCTCTGTACTATGGGTTCCCTGTGACTCCAAATCTGGTACTGTACAGGCAGTTTACCTGGCCCAGTGACACCCAAGTGCACCCCATCTCAGTCTGCTGTGTAATCTGTGTCATTTTTATCTTCGTAAAACTCATTATCTCATTGTTTGGGTGCCACAAGTGATGTTACTTGTCTCTATTTACACTTTTGTTTATCAAAAACAGAATATGCCCCACACCTGTTGTTTTCCTTTGAAAAACATATCTCTCCAACAAGCACAGTTTATGAAGCTAACTTGCAGACATTCTTTAATTATGAAAGGGCATGTGATGATCTGTCAAGGGACAGTTGTCTCTAAATGGATTAAAAGAAGCTTACATGGGTTAAAAGTGGGCTGTGCCCCTTTGTAGGCTGAAAATAGTTCAAGTTAGCTTGAGCTGGCTAAACAGTGTGTATTCAGTAGCTATGCAGGTAACCATTTAGTTTCTCCATTTCAGATAGTAACTTTTGCACCTCTGAGAATGTGGGATGTAAAGAATAGAAAAAAACCCAAGATAAATATCTGAACTGACCAGTGTTGTTAGATAAACTGTTCCTAAGCATCAGCCCGGAGGAAAAAATGAGACAATGTTTAAATAAAACCTGTCCTCTGTCATGCAAGATCATCTCTCAGCTGTTGAGAATCTAAATTGCACTGTCCTGACTCATCAGCAGGGCTCTTCCTACCTTCCTCTAGTAAAGAGTGGAATGAGAATAAATTAATGATTGGCTGTTTGGAAAAGAAATATCTTCCTGAATGATAGTGGTACTCTCATGAAGCGTAACAGCAGGAGAAAGATAGGATTTTTGGTAATGCTGGCAAAAGCAGGCAGGTTTTCAGTATTTTCCTGAGGTCTGAAACAAAGATAAATACAAGTTGAGAGCCACCACTGTGAGTTTAACTAGATATGTAGCTGTTACACCACCTAATAGAAAGGTAAGTGGTAGCTGCAGGGTCAAGTGTCTATTAATAGCTAAAGTCCACTGCTGCACTGTTTTGGGGGTGCTTTTTTCCCCGACATTTTTTTGAAAAATTACTGCCTTTGAAAAATTCCAGGGTATTGTCAGTAGAAAGTCATGTCTAGCACAGAACCACAAAACCCCCTGAGGTAATAAAAACACATATTGTGCCTGTCAGACATTGCTCGCTCACTTTTGTCTTGCCTCATAGCCAAAGTAATGTTTCCAGCTTTGTGAAAAAGCTCAACAGGTTTTGTGACCATCAGATGTTTTGCATCTGTTTTACATCAGTGATTAGTTGCCCACAAAAGCAGTTAATTACTTCGTAGGCTGTGATCGTGCTGTGAATGTTATCCCCTAAGTATTTTTAGCTGAGAATGGTAAAACCTACTTTTTCTAAAGCGAGACTGCGGGAAGGGAAAAGTCCTTAGTTAGCTGGATCAGTTGGAGTCAGATGGGATTATTAACTTTTCTGTTCTTTTTCACTTGTTGCAAATGACAAAAGAATTACAGCACTCTGTTTTATGCACCTTTACTTAATCAGTGTCAGAGTTTCCAGTATAACTGGTTCCTTGTCCGCTTTATTGACTACAGGAATTAACTAGTTGAGATCACTGCGGCTTTTTCATCTTTTTTGCCTAGCTCTTGCTGTAAACAAAAGAATTTCCAGCTACAGCTCATACTCTGGCAGTTGCTCTTTGACTTGCCTTTCCCTTGAAGGTGTGGCAAGACCTGCTGGCCAGGCTAACGTGAGGTCTTCTAGATGCAATAGTTGGAGGCTTCCTTATAAGACTTATTTCACACTGAAGCTGTTAGATACCTAAAGCTGTAGCAGACAGCCATGTCGAGACAGAAGTAGCTTTTCTCAGCATGTGAGACCTGCAATATACACTGCTAAGCCAGTGACCGTAAATACAAAAACAATAGACGGAAATGATAAAGGGCAACAAAAAGTGAAGACCTGTGGTGGAAAACTTAAATCCTTCTGGCAAGTGCATGTTCATTGAATTGATCCTGTAATAATTCTGTAATGCAGTTTATAGCATTTCAGCCCTGCTGTCTGCAGCCACTGCTCCCTGTGGTGGTGTCCCCTCTGTGGACGGGCTGGGGCAGCCCCTTGAACACGGTCGCTGCAGTGAAGATGGGTGCAGGTACGTGCTGGCTGCGGTGTCCCTGTGGTGGAAAGGCACAAAGTACTTGCAGCAGTTTGCCAGCCAGGCCCTGGGCTTGTGCACCCCGAGGGTGGATGCTTAACTCTCGCTGCTGGGGTGGTGTAGGAGGGAGCAGAGAGAGGTGTCTGAGGGCCTGGATGGGAAGGAAGATCTGCTCGTTTGGTGGTGGGTTGGGCTCAGGAGTCGGACAAATGCTTAATGGTATTCCTGACCTTAATTGGATAGAATTTAAAACCATAGCATAGCCTATTAAAAGCAACAGAGTTCATCCTGGTTAATATATTTAGCCTCATGTATCTTTACGGGTTCTGCCACATCCCTGGCTTTTCTGGACCAGCCCCAGGCTGAACGGTTTTCCTGACAGTCGCGCAGTTGCGGCAGGCTCTCCGCATGTCCGTGTGGTTGAGGCGGAGTACAGCTCCAAACAGCACAGGTGGAAATTCAGTAGCTGTGGTTTTAGTTTGCTCGTGTTGTTCCCGTAGCATCGTATGTCCATAAGAAGTGGGAGGAAACAGCTGGGGTTTGGCCAAAGACGCCTGGGCAGTGCTGCTGGGGTGCGGGCAGGTGACACTGCTTCCCGTGCTGGTGACCTAGTGAAGGACATGGCTCTTCTGCGTGACAGCTGCCCAACACCTCAGAAAAGGAGCTTTCATGCCATTTGGTTAACTGTGCTTCCACTACATTTCTCTCAGGTTTTCTTGAAGCCGTGGATGGGTGAGCTGCTTTGTAGAGGAGAGATGTGCTTAACTCCCATAAGTAAAAGATAATAATCTAATGGCTCTCGAAATTGCCAGATTCTTCATTTGAGAGAGAAAAAAATTATATAAATGCTCATCCCCAAGCATGTACTTAAGGATAAAAAAAACATATGTTGGAGGTTGAGGAACTGTTTGTCATGAATTTCCAGTTGAAATAGCTATGACTGTGCTTTCAAGCTTATTTGGGCTGTGTTTTAGACAAAGGAGGTAATTTCAATGTTAGTCACCATATTGTGGAAAGCACTGGAAAAAACAATTTAGTGTTTAGTGTTGAACCTCCTAAATTATAACCTATATTTGATGACAGAGTGAAGTCAGCATGAAGTTCAGCTTTGTTTTTTTTTTTTTTGAGGGCTTTGGAGGACTGACTACGTTTGCAAGTCATTTAGATCTGTGCTTTTCGTTAGACTGGTTATTTTTAAAGGGTAGCTTGCTGTGGTAGAATTAGTTTCTAATAAGCACTTCTGAAGAAAACTAAATGTATAAATTCCGCTTTGTTAAAAGCCTGGGCATAGTTGTTTTGTCTTGTTACTTGCACCTGACTGTTATCTGGATACCGTTACTTGGCAAGACAGCTTTAGGAAAGCATAAAGAAAAGAAAAATATCAGTTTATATCAAGGCATAACTGACAGAAATGGCCACCATCACTGAAGGTAATGTATGAGGAGGTCTTATATACAAGACATTAGTTTTACTATTGCTTGTGAGGGGTTAAGCAGTGGCAAGATGGGTTTTCTGCCTACTGAACTTGATCATTTAGACACGCTGAGCTACCTCTTGTATATAGGCTGCTCTATAAATTTGAGGACAGCCAGCAGTGATCTGCTGTACAGGAGCGTGAGGCACCGGCCATACTTGGTACCTGGGGGTGCTTTACCTGTTTGGGCTCTGACCAGGGGAGTCACGGGTGGGAACAGGCAGATGTGACCTCTACTCTGGTGATGGCTGTGTGCATGGCCTCCCTTGGTTTCTAAACCTTCTGCTTTCACGGGGGCGAGAAGCATGGTTTTAAAAGTCTCTGGCAGTCGAAAGGTAAGAGAGATAAATTCCACGGTATTTTTTCTTTAACTTTTTTGTTTGGTTTTTGGTTTTGCTTTAATAGAATAAAATATTATCTGCCTGCACTTAAACTCTCTTTACAAATGCATTCAGTAGGGTTGCCACAGACCACAGGAATGAGACTATGAGCAGTGGTTGCCTTTGGGAGGTCTTGAAAACAACTGATCCTTTGTGGGTAGGAATACCAAAGCAGAGGGCAGCTTGTTTCTCTCCTAAAATGTCAGCACTGTTTATTTTAACACATGATGGTGAAATCCCAAACCTTACTTAAATGTAAGAGAGGGGACCTACGTTAGATCTGGCCAACTATCAAATAAGCCAGTAAAGCAAGAACATAATTTTTCTTGCTTTTACCTGACCTAGTGCTTCATCATAATCTAATGTGCTGGGGGAGTGAACAATGTGAGGATGTAAAGATATTATGTAGTGTACACTAAATGTAAAATGCTGACATGCACATTATATTAATTCTCCCCCTTTAAACTTACTGAAAATGTAGAATCAGTTGAGAGTGACTTGTGAGCTAGTATTCCCAGGCTAAATGTAATGAAGTGTTAAGTATTATCTCAAGGTGCTACTCTGTCGAGAAATAAATACCAGTATTCTCAGCATACTCCATTAAATATACCTCATCAAAGAGCATGGAGCCCAAAAGATAAAAGCTGTTTAAAAATAGCCCATTTGGCTAAAGAGATCCTTTTCTGTCACTTCCTATACAAGTGGAGCATCCGCAGAAACTCTTTTCAGTATTTTGTTAGTGCTGAGACAACTGTGTCTCACACTGTTTGCATTTTAATGTCTGAATAATCAGGAGTTTACAGCCTGAGCTTTTAGGGCAAGAGGAGAAACAGTGCATTTTTAGTGTAAGAAGTAGTTTGCAGAATGAGATGCTCATACTAAGACTGCTGGAGATGTATGGTATCTGAAGTGCCGTTATGCATCCCTTCTCTCTGGTTTGAAGTTGCCATTTGTTCTTTTAAGCAGGCGGTCAGTGCTGTTTGTAAGTAACATTCCCATATTTGTCATAATTTGGTATGTTCAACTAAATAAAAACTAACATAATAAACAAGCGCAAAGAGAATGACTTAAGACATAAAACATAGTTGACAGCTGTCAGCTGGTATGTTACCAAGCACGATGACCAGAGTATAGATTTGAAAATATTGCTGAGTTTCTTAAGGAGATAAAGAAGTCATCTCCTTTTTGCAAGGAGCGCAAACAGATTCCAGTTCGGATGGAGTACTACCTAGTGATAATTTTGCTACCTCTGCTTTGCCGTGTGTTGGGATGTGCAGAGGTCTGCAGTCTCTAGGCCACAGGTGCTTGTCTTGGGAGGATTGCCGAAGCGCTGGTTTGCCGACTGGCAGTGTGTATGAAACTGTGGGAAATGTAGTTGTATGCTATGTTAGTGTGTGCAAGGCATCCATTTCTGATGGTGTAGAAGTTGCAACAAGAAGCAAGTTTAAGAATGTTTTTGCTTTTCTATTATTGTGAGGCAGAGCAAGGTTGGTAAGAAATGAGTTATGTCTGTGATGGAGAAAGGGCTTGGGTCTAAGGAAAAAAGAAATACATTTGGATTGTTCTTTTTTCTGTGCTTTAAATTACATCTGCATTTGTTTTTGTTCAGATAACCCCTAGTGGAAGTCATGGCTTGTTATAGATGTTAAACGTTTTCTACTTGTCATCTTTTTGTATGAGTAGGCTAATTTATGGAAAGTGAATGCATTTAGCTTTCTGCCCTGTCAACTGACTGCTCTCTAGAAATGAAATGAAGCAGATGAACAGAACTGCAGACTACAATGGCAAAACCAGTAAAAGATCAGGTTTTCAGAAGGAAGATCTGACTGCTGGCTTCTCAGGGGTGTAGTATCTGCTGCCAAAACCTGTATCCTGATTGAGGAGCTAGGAAAAAGGAGTTGGTTTCAAAAACGAGAGGGGTGGGGAGAAAATCCTTCCTCCTCTTAGACAGGTTCAGTTCAGAACAACAAATACAATTTTGTGGAAAATCTTGCAGACTTTGTTTCAGGATCAGAGGTTTTGCAGCTTCTTGTTTTCTCTCACACCGGAGTTTGAACAATGCTTTCAGTTGCAGAGGTACGAAAACTCCAAATGCAATACCTGTATTAATGCGGGTATTGCATGCTCACCTTGTTTATAGAGGGGCTCATAAGTGCAGTTACCTACTTGTGATTTTTCCATTGAGTTCAGCATCTGTTTTTTAAGTTATGAAAGTAACACAGTCGCTTTTACTAAGGAGCAGAGTGACTGGGGGTGATGGGAGGTGAAGTGGAGTTCAGAGGAGTGACAACGCTGAAACGCCTTTTGGATTTTAGGTTCAATGAAGCTTTAGGGATTTATTGGCTGAAGGTTTGGGCCTTTGTTGTGTGGTTATACACGCAGGACAGCTGAGACTTGGCAAAAAAAAAAGCCTGCTTTGCATTGAATTTAATTCCATAACACTAATTATTGAGATTATAGTGTTTTCATTGATGATTGATCTTTAGAGATGATGTATTAAATTGTGCTCATTGCAGAACCATGAAGTACTGCAGCTTTAGCTTTAATAATGTGGGGGTTTTTTCCAAATATTAGTAATTATGGAAGGATTCTGTTATATTGCTTGTGTCATTCTTTTTTTTCATGGGTGAAATACTTGGAAGGGGAATGAATAAAAGGAGAATTTAAAGAATGAATAGTTTTTGCTGGGCATGTTGCTCACAGTGAAGAGCAGACTAATTCATTTTCCTAATAAGGCTGTACTGGAAGTTGGAATGTTTTGAATTGCATTAAATGTCACAAAAGTATTCATCAGAGAGAAGTGGTTTGTGGTATGTTTAGAGAGCAAATTTGGTCATGTTTGGTCGAAATGAATTGTTTACACACGCTAAATATAGCTTTTTTTTCTGAAAGAATAAATAACTTTGATGTAGAAGCCTGTGCAAAAACTTTGCGCGCTTTCATTTTCAGTATTAGGCTGTTGGTAAGTGATGGCTGCTGCTTCTATTTTTGTTGTCTATAATAATTCATATGAAGCTTGAAACTGTAACCGTTTGCCAAGGTCTTCCCTGTGAGTTGTTTATAATAAGCGTTTATACCGAGCTTTTATGTCTTTGCTTTGTTTGTATGTTATTGAAAATATTACATAAGCTAGTGTACTGAACTGCTAGTTTTAAATCATTCAGAAAACATCCTACTTCAAGCCATCCTACTTTTCTAGTAAGTAGTAATGAAGTAGTAACGGGGTAAGTGTGTCATCTCATTTTGAAAGCCTTTGTCATCAGTTATTCATACATTCAGTGTGACCAAAGCAGCATGAAATCCTGATGTGTTTAATTGCTAGGTGGCAAGCGAAGTGCTAACAGCTAAGGAAATGTACAAGATTATGCGGTTTAATTATTTTTTTGCTATGCAATTTGGTAATATCCATCAAAATCCTAAGGGAAATAGCCCTGAAGGAAGTATTTTTTTACATGTATGTGATGGATGTGTTTTTGTTTTCAGCTTGAAGTGAGCATTTCCTTTTGTACTGTCTTGTCTAACCACCATGCATTTTTCACATTCATCTGAATGGTGGCTTAGTTTGCTGGGTGAGCATTTTCTTTATCCAGTACAGGATAAATCACTGATTTTAGGCTGATTATGGTCTGAAGTCAGCAAGGCCAAGTTAGACTGTTTGAAGTATGTCTGGGACACACAAATTTATGTCCTCGTTTCAAGTACGTTTGGGGGAAATAAACTAATGTGCTGTCTGACTCCAGTGTTAACTGAAACGTTCCCAATGTTCTTTTATCAAGCCTTTTTTCCACCCTTTTTTTTCTTTTTCTTCTTTTTGTATGGTATTTTTGAAGATTAATTTTGAAGAGTATATCTTCAGATCATCTGGAAATAGTGATTTGAAATAATTTTTGCTCAGTGCAATATTGATGAATGCAGAGCAATCTCATCCATTGCAAACTCAATTTTGATTATTTTGTAAAAATAAAACAGAAATTAAGTATATTCCTTTTATAAGTCTGGAACTTCAAGGTCCAGCATTAGCAAAGAGAAGGTTTTTCTCAAGCGTGAAGTATGGCAGTTGACGTGAATTATGAATGTCTTTCTTTCTACTTTTTACTGTTAGATCAGCTAAATAAATACACAAAGCATTCCAAATTACTTTATTTAAAAAAGTATTCCTAAGATATGGAGTAAGATGCGTGTTTCCTTCTGACTGTGGTCTTCAGAATGAAAGAAAGGTTTCTATATGTGTTGGCATTTTGTTTTTTTTCTTCTCGTTGCTTTTCTTGCTGCAAACTGACAGCTCTGCAATTAAGAGTGATTAATGACACGCCCCAGCGCTTCGACGAGCTGGAGGTCAGTGTGCTGGGAGGCTTCGAACCCTGTGAGAAAGGGGAGAGCAGACCCGCTCCTTGGAGCGGACAAAGCCCTCGCTCTGTTGAGAATCACTGTTGATGTGGACGTAATGTGTGTCAGCGGTGAGGCACAAATGGTGAAGGCGAGGTGCAGAAGATGATCTTTTCATGTGATGTTTTGGGGTTTTTTTTGTTTTCATTTTTTCTTATGCCAACATATCATGTGGATTAAGTGCATCTCCCTTTTTGGAAGCTAGTTACTGAACCCTGCACCAGGATTACTATTGCTGGAATCTGATGAGCCCTGAGGGGCAAATGGCTTTGAAGGAAGAAGTAAACATTTGGAATATAATGAGTAAAAAGGAAAAAAGAGGGAAAAAGGAAAGTAAAAAAGAAAGGAGTTTTTAAATGGACTAAGTGTGCCTAATTCAAATCTAGCTCTCCACGTTTTCCTAGTAGAAATAGAAAAGCTGATTTATACAATAGAAGTCCTTTGAATTGTAGCCTCTGTTAGCTGATCTCCAATTAAACTAACCTTTTTGCCTCACTTGCAAATTAGCTTTTGTAAAATGAGAAACCAGCTTCAGTTCTTCACAACCCTGTTTAAAAGGTTTGTTGGAAATCAGGATTGTGTGATTTAGGCAGGATACCATTGCTGGTTCTTGGGTCGTTAAGGGTGCCAGCTTTTCTGAGTAGCTACCAAATATGGCCAGAAATGTTTTAAAATGTGGCAGAAAGCCACTTTTCTAATGAAACAGCATGAAAAGACTCAAGTGTCAATGTTTGCAGACAAAATGTTAGTGTCAGGTTTATTGCCTTTTTTTTTGATTTTTTTTTTTTGTGTGTGTTTTTTTTCATGTAGGTATATGAAAATCTGAAAAAACAATGAAATGAGATGCCTTTACTTGTAACATGTTGCCAGTTCACTGTAGGTGTAACAAAATCTCAATTCTCTATCTCCTTCATCCTTTCCCTTGTGATACTTCCTTCCCTTCCCACCACCCCGCAGTAGTTTCAATGTACCCATTGTTTGTTTGGAAGAAACTTTTTTGCAATCTTCTGTGGAGTTCAAGTCACTTTAACCTCACCTTTGAAGACCAAAAGCTGTGCAAAAAGTTTCTGTATTATTTAACTTGCTAAGTCCCTCAGAAGGATTTTTGTTGTTGTTGTTCTAAAAGGAAGCTTTCTGTTTTAAGCCTGAATAAAGGTTATGCGCTGTTTAAAATGCAATTTATCTGACCTGAGCATTTGAGTTAAGTAATGTAGTTTGCTTATTGTTTTCCATACTTTCATAAGAAATTGGAGCTGAAGTCTCCTAACTAGTAATATGGTATTTTGAATTTAAAAATCAAATAGTAATTGATGATAGATGTTGGAGTTCCTAACGTTGTGTCCGGATAAATTCATCCGCTTTGTATTTGCCTTGTTCTTGTATAACAACAATGTTGTAGGTTTAACTTGAATGCTTCTTGTTTCCTTTAGAAAAACCTTTCCTTTTTTTTAGAAGAAACAAAATGAAGTATTTGATTTATCTGTGAGTGGATGTGGTGAGCTGGAAAAGGGAAATGCTTAAATATTAAAGAACTTTTTTTTATGATTACGTGTATGTTTTTCCTCTTCCAGAGTGGCTTCTGCACAAAAACCTGATCTTGTTCATGTTACAAAGGTATGTTCATCGTCACAACCAAGAAATGTAGCATGTGACACTGTTGCCCATCTGTCAAACCCTGTTGTGATAAGCACTGTCATTCCAACCTTCCTTTCAATATAACGTGCTTGATTTCCATGTGTTACATTAAGAGTATTGCAGCATTTGAGTCTGTGAGTTCCCCACGACCTCCCAAAAGAACTGAGACCTGGCAAATGATTTATCAAAAAAAAAAAAAAAAAAGTGAATAAATGTTAGCTTTGAACTCTGAACATTTTTTTAGAAAGATGTTGCTGAAGTTTTTCCTCTGTCTCTGGGAGAAACAGTAGTAGGATTTTTTGGTGGGGGGGGTGTTGTTTTGTTTGTTTTTTTAATGGGCACTGAAATCTTCCTTTGTATTTGAAAGAAGCTTATATAAATATTAGAGCTTCAGAGAACAATTCCCCTCACTTTCCCGAGTTCTTCTAATGTTACATCCTCAAGTAATACTTTCAACCCCCCCCTTTTGTGATAAGAAGGCTGTTTGCAAAGTTGAAAATGCTTACAAATGGCCTGTACTTGAAAATCCTCTCCAGTGGACGTAAATGATGTATAGTATATTACTGTTCTGCTGACTGTGATATGAAAGGCCACAGTGTGGGAACCACCATGTTAAAACGTAGCTCCTTGGAGGGTGGTAATCGCATTTTTTTGAGCATTTTGATCTGACAAGGCTATATGAAGACGTTGGGTCACATAGATGGAGTGCAACTGGAAAAGCTCACCGAGTCCCCAAAGCACCAGCCTCTAACAAATGAGCTCCAGGGCTCTAGTTCTGCTCTTACGGGCTGTATCGACAGACCGATATATACAGTGTGCGTGTGTACACCCGCACATGCTGTTTGTGTATGAGGAACGTGCATATCTCAAATTGGGTTTGAGAGGTGGAATGTGGATTTTTATAAAAAACACTAATTTCTTCCACGTGAGTTAACCCAGTGGGTTTTGCGATAGAGTGGTTCCTCAGTTTGTCTTGAATTTGATTTGTGGGGTGTCTGCTTTGGGTATGATGAGAGGAGTTAGCATGGTGGGGTCTCATATTGATTGTGCATGCCTGGAGTGTTCTTTTTCCTAAAATTCGTGGCTTGTTTTCCATACATTTCCTGACTGCAGTCTCGGTAAAGCTTGCTTTTCTGCTTCTTGGTTTCACGCTAGGCGGGTTCCCCGCCCCCCCGAGAGCAGCAAAAATCCCTGCTGAGGAACATGCATGTGTTTGGTGTGGTTTTGTGTGTTTCTTTTTTGTTTTTCATCTCGCATAGGGAGAACCTACACAAGTAGTTAAGCCTGTGCCCATTGCCTCTGCTGTTGCACCCAAAGTCACTGCCACGGCGAGTGTGGCTTACAATAAGACACCGAGGCCGTTTGGAGCCGTAACGTCCTCCAAGGTCACCTCCATCCCATCGCCGTCCTCCGCCTTCACCCCAGCCCAGGCGGCCGCTGCGGCCCCGGCCCCGTTCGCTGTGCCTGGACTGCATGTTAACGCCAAGCCTAACACTGAGCAGCAGCTGCCTGTGCCGAGCGCTGCTAAACCTGCGGTTAATGTCCCACGGCAGCCCACCACGCACAGTGCCGCCCCGAGCCCCTCCGCCGGCAACGGCGCCCAGGATGTGGCCGAGGGGCCGCGACGAGGATTCAGAGAGAACCAGGGGGAGAGTAAACAGCAAAATGGGTAGGTGGGATTTTTTTTGCTGTGAGGGTCTTTCCTCGCAGGAAAAAAGCTGGGCTTGTTTAAGGGCTGAGTGAAAAACAGCTCGGAGGAGTCATTTAATCCTCTGAAGCGAGTCTCTCAAGAAGGACTTGCATTTTAAAAGCGGTGCTTCAAAGGGCCAAACCATACTTCCTGTGATGATTTTTCTCGGATGTGACATTATATCAGTTTATAGAGTGTCACAGCTAAACTGAGTAAGGGCCACAAAATGCCTTTACATGATGGGTTGTGGGTTACACGATGTGTTTTGGACCTTACAACAAGCCCAGTATTAATTTTGATGTCCGTGTCTCACTGTGTATTTTGACTCCCGATACGGTGACTGAAAGCAGCAGGCACTCAAAAATGCAGAGCAGTCTGTCAAGAAGGGTCGGCGGGTGTTGCCATGGCCAGGAATGAGATGCTCTGAAAGACCAACCGTGGGCCCAGCAGGACCGGTGAAGAAAGGTCCTAGAAGGGAGGCAAAGGGACAGATGTTGCATGACTTCTTTGCACAACACACGAGAAACTTTAAGATGCGTGCAAGGAAGCTGGCAAGGTGGAGCAGATTTTTTGTAACATTATAGTTAAATACCTCAACTTTAAATGTTACTTTTATCCTAAAAAAGCAACACAGATTTAAAATTTGAGTCATTTTCGTATTCAAATAATTGTGTTAAAGTGGATATTGGAGACGTAACATTTAAGGGACTGTAAGGCTGCATAAAAGGCTTATACTGTATCTGGTGTGGCATCTAGGCTAGTAAACAGTAGACTAGTAAATTAAACCGAGCCGAGCAGAATCCTGGGCACTCGGACCTGCACTGCTGCCCTGTTTCAGCAGCATGCTTTTGGCCCAGGCCACCTCGGGCTCTCCCAGAAATTCCTAGGCAGGGCTGGGGAGCTGCAGCACCCAGGGACCGGTTCCCAGTGGCTGCTGTGCCGGAGGCTGGGCGCGAGCAGTCACATGCCAGTTGGCCTCCGTGCCCAGCAGCGGTGTCCAGTGGATTGAATTGAGTAATAAAAAGGGCAGGAGGGGAACTGTAGGTTTCTCTGATCTTAAGAACGTAAAACCTGTGCTTAAAATCTAAAAGCTGTGATTACTATTTCCCATCCCTCAAAGGAAAGGGGCTGGAGGAATAGGCCTAGTGCCTCTCTCCTCTGATACTCTCTCAGTGCAGAAAGTGTAGGAAGAATTCTACAGAAAGGTAAACATCCATGTCAACCAAAATACAGAATAAACTGCAGTTTCAGTTGTGCTTCTCATGGAGGGGAAACAAAACTTACGTAGCTTCCTATTCCTGTTACATTGCAGTACAAATGTTTTCCATGTGTAGACTCATACAACGCAGTCCGTATGTATTTTGTATCATACCGTTATTATGGTAACTTCCAGCCCTTTCTTAAACAGCTGATGGCAGCAGTCCACACTGCATAGAAATGGGATGAAATGGGGAGACCCCAAGGACTTGCGAAATAGGGAGATCCCAAGGACTTGCTCAGTGCTGGTAGACTCACTGAATACACTTTGGCAAACTGACTCTGTCTTTCCAGGAATGCTGTTTTAGCAAACACTGTGTAAGGAGTACTCTAAAGCAGCAATTGGTACTGAAAAAGATGAACAATAGCAACAAAATGAAGTCTACTGGAAGGAAGTGCTGCAGGCGTAGAGTAAGAACTTGGCAATTAAGATAGGATGAGTAGGTGAGCACTGTTTCATGCCCTGCCTTATGGTTAGGGGATGAATAATACAGACTGAAGAGTACCACAGCTGACAGGCGAAGAAATCCCTGCCTCACTGCCAGCCTTCTAGATATAGTTTGGGAAAGCTTGAAAACGTTTAGAGCTGTAAAAACCTACTTCATTTTGCCATCTTTCTAACAATGGTGTGTTTGGGCTGTCTAACTGTCTTGCAGTCTTAAGGTAAAAAAAAACAAAAACAAGCAAACAAAAATTGCTAAAGTGATTATATTGGACTGCCACTACACTACTTGCTTAGTTTTACTTAGGAAAATTACATTTCTACAATGATGCTTACCTATCTCCCTATTTAAAGTGGAATCAATGACATTTATGAAATATCCAGAATCACTGAAGTTTGGAATAATTTATCAGTCTGAAATAAATACAGTTTTGCTTCTATGTGTTGTATTATTCATTTTGTCAAAAAAAAAAAAAAAGCATCTTTTGCCGCCTTCATAGATAGCACTGCTGAGCAAGTGCTGTTCTTCAGATATGCACCTTGTCCTACCCAGAATTTTCTCCCTTCCTCCTGACTCCCCTCAAACCATGTTCAGGATATAAACTATTTGCCTTCCCTTCAGGAAGGGGAAGGAAGTTTTGTTTCCCTTGTTTAGTCTTGGCTTAGAAAGAAAACAATTTTGCCTTCACTAGGCTGCATGTATTTATGCTTTTATCAAGACCTTCTTGCCAACTCTCGCATGAAAGTGTGCCTGCTGCTTAAAACAGGTAAGGTGTCCACAGACTTTACTCAATTTAAGCTCAACTGGGCTAAATTTTTCCCTTGTAGGTTCTCTTGGTGATTGTGAGTTTGCCTTACATGATATATGGCTTTACCAGAGTGTGGATTTGGAAACTCCTGTTAATATTTCAAAAAGCAAAGAATGTATTAACACATCAAATACTTTTTTTCCCTTGCAGATAACAACAGTGACAAAGTTAGTATCGACAGCACTGGAGTTGAATTATGGTCGTTTTTCCTGTTGGAATAACCAGCATGTACATTTGTTTTGCAAAATTATAGCTCTTGCAGAGTTTTATATTTAAATTTTGCAAAACAGCTTCAGCTTTTCTTAGTAACTTCTTAGTGTAGTAAATGGTTTTGTCTGCATTGGACATGATGTGATCTTGCTTTTCACTCTGTTAAATTTTGCAGCTTTTTTTTATTCCACAAAACATTTGTGTGGTGTTTGTGTGTATTTGTAAATCTTGGTGCACCTATAGCTAATTGGTATTAGTAATACAACTAGTGAATGGTGAAATACAGTATAAAAGCAAAAAATGATTTGAGGACTATGGAATGAAGCACCAGATACTGAATTCATACAACAAAAATAAGCAACATCCACGTACTGTGATTTGTACATGTTAGGGTTGATAAATATGATTGAGGTTTTATTGTCTTCTCTCCCCTTGCCTCAAGGCTGAGTTAAGGGGAGAGCCTGTCTTGTCAGATTTCCCGTTGTCTCTGGCACCACCTTGTTGCCTCAAGGAGTCATTGCCAGTAGGCTCTGAAGTCCTATAAAAGGGACCAGCAGGATCCACAAGAGAAGTCAGCAGGATATTTTGTTTATAATACCACTTTCAACAAATATGAGAGACTACTTATTTCACTCTGGTAGTCGCTAGAATGAAGGCAACTGCATGTAAATAATTACATTTCCATGTAGGTGTACACCTTTAATTACTGCTTTAATTTTGAAATTTTATTTTTGCCATTAACTGTTTTGATGCTTTACTTCATTCTTCTCTGTACTTCTTGTACTCTGTTCTGGATATACCACTTTTTTTGTTTCTATACCCCTTCCCCTTTTAGTAACCTCAATAGGTCAGTGTACTTCACTAATACTGTGTGTCAGTAAATGCAGTCTTTTGCTATCATTTTGTATAATACCTTTCACATCATTCTTATAAGTATTAAGTATTCTTTTAAGCTAAAGTATTTACTAATGCATTCAACTGAATGGGCCTAATTCTTACTTGTTGACAATTAATAACTTACATCATTCTCATTCATATTTTCCACCTGTCGTTACCAGAAACACTTTGGGCATTAAAAACACAGAGCAGATGTAGTGGCAAAAATGGAAGTTACTTTTAAAGGGATTTTTTGGTAGAGTTGTTGTATCTTAAGGGTTAGATTTTAACAGTTAATCTCCTGTAAATTCTGTAAAAAATCCCTGTATGTTTAAAGGGTCTTAATGATTAAAGTGTTGGGATAATTAATATAAACTTTAGGAGTAATATATATATAGTGTGAATCTTCGGTTATTTTTTCCTAAACTGATTAGTGCAACTGCATGTTTTTTATATCAGTTACTGAAAGCAACGTTTTAAAACCCCACATTCTTGCAAGTCTGCTAGCACAAGGGTTGCTAACAGCATGTAGGCTGCTATGGGGAGAATTTCCCCACTTCTTTGACTTCCAGAGAGGGTAGTGAGCATCAATATTTTCACGTTATGCTCCAGAACATCTCTACCTACACTTTCAAATGGCCTGGTTCTGATCCGGCTTTGCCAGCTGGAAAAGACTTGGCATGTGCTGGGTGGCCCTAGTGCTTTGGGCCTTGTGAACGAAGAGGAAAATCTGTCCGGGGCACCTGGTCTGAACTATGCAGACTACCTTGATTTACCAAACCAAACAAATTCCCCTCTTACTCCTGTAAGGAAATTTCTGTGAGTTGAAGTTTAGGTATGGGGGTTCTGTCCTGTGGTTTTGGTAGTAGAATGTGAATGTTGCTATTAATTGGATTTCAGTGCCCTTTCGCACAAAACTAATTCAATAGAATAATTAGCTGCACTTCTGTTTAACTTTCTGACTTTATTTCCTGTTTTCTTTTTCTCCTTTTCCTGTTTATGCTGGGAAAACTTTCTCTTGCTGTCCTACTCTGTCATCTCCAAGGAAAAACCCACCCAAACGGTAAAGGCTTAAACATGTAAATGTCTTGATAATACTGTCTTTTACTGTTTCGAGTGTTCCAGCACTGAAACAAGGAAAAGTATTTCAGCTGGGTTGGAGTAATTGTACAGCTGTGTTTGGTTCAGAGAACTAAATGTGTTCACGTGTGCCTGTAGAGCTCACTGCTGCCTGTCTGCATCCAAACGCAGCCGCTGCCTTTAAACATTGTGAAAAGTCACCGTTCTGCCCATGTCTTTGTAGCTACCCCAGCCCAGGTGGTCTGTGAAGCTTTTTGCTCACTGTTCTCTCTTCTCCTTGACGCAGCCCCCCGCGGAAGCACATTGTGGATACCTACACAGAGTTTTACCACACGCCCACCCACAGCGATGCCAGCAAGAAGCGGCTGATTGAAGACACCGAAGACTGGCACCCCCGGACAGGCACCACCCAGTCCCGCTCTTTCCGCATCCTTGCCCAAATCACCGGCACTGATCATAGTGAGTCGTTTGATGTAGAAGAAATAAAAGTAATGGCCTTGGAGAGCTAGGTGTTTTTAAAAGCTAGGGGTGGGGGGAAATAGTGAAAGGATTCAGTCACATCTCTTGTGTTTTCCCTCTTGGATAAAAAATCCAGTAAGCAGAATTTTGGTTAACTCTGTAGAAGAAAAAAAGTTTGAGAAGGCTGTAGTAGGAAAATATTTTTCTAAAACTCTTGCAGTTGCTAAATAGCACAGGACATACACATTACTGGACATAATTCCTGATTGAGTTGAATATTAATACATTCTAGATAAATCTTAAAATTACCATTTCTACTCCCAAAGGTTTTGGCAGATACGTATTTGTTGTTTCTTTCCCCTCCCGTATCACCAAAATGGCACCATTCCTTTTTAAATTTAACACTCCAGAAAAATTAAGGTGTTTTCAGGCACATAGAAAATCTTTGACAGTCCAGACAGCAGAAGTCCATAGTTCCTCAGTTTATTCCCAGGTCATGTTGCAATCCTCTGCTTATACTGTGGTGTGATTACTTGTACTGTGGACTGGAACAGATGATGTGGAGAAGGTCATTCCCAGTCATATATTTTTATGGTAAAACTTTAATTTCATATTATGCTACCAATTATAATTCATTGGCTGAGAACTGTGATGTGTGTAAAAACTGTGGGAAGTGCCTTCAGGAGATTTTGAGCTCAGTCGTGTTCAGGCTGAGGCAGCTAATGTAGAGGTGATTATTTCATTCTTCTGCTTTTCACAGCTAGTGCTACAATAAAGAAGGCCGTAAGGAAGTCAGACCCCCTCCCCGGGGGCAGATTTGATTAAATCAACTGTCGATTCACTGGCAGAATTACTCTAGAAGTCAATGATAACAGCTCCCCAAATAAGGATTATTGTCTATGAGTGATAAATATTCTGAATGTGGACAGTTACCTGATTGTTCTGTGGTCCTGCATTGCACTAGTCTATTAATAGATCATTGTCTGTCTTTGGATTCGCTTCGTTAATCCTTGTAAGGGCAGAATATGGGACCTGAATGTCAGGTCATCCAGTACCGATGAATTAGTGATGTTGACAAATACTGTAAGAAAGTGACTGCAACTAGATTTGCCAAACTTAAAATCAGGGTTGAGAATTTACATTATCATAGAGTCATAGAATGCTTTGGGTTGGAAAGGACCTTTAGAGGTCATCTAGCCCAACCGCCCTGCAGTGAGCAGGGACATCTTCGACTACACTAGGTTGCTCAGACCCCCGTCCAACCTGGCCTTGAATGTTTCCAGAGATGGGGCCTCCACTACTTCTCCGGGCAACCTGTTCCAGTGTTTCACCACTCTTATCGTAAACAATTTCTTCCTGATATGTCGTCTAAGTCTGCACTCTCATCGTTTAAAGCCATTGCTCCTTGTCCTATCGCAACGAGCCCTGCTGAAAAGATTTTCTCCATCTTTCCTACAGACCCCCTTCAGGTACTGAAAGGCTGCTATAAGGTCTCCTTGCAACCTTCTCTTCTCTAGCCTGAACAGTCCCAACTCTCTCAGCCTTTCCTCACAGGAGAGGTGCTCCAGCCCTCTGACCCACTCCAACAGCTCCATATCCTTCTTGTGCTGAGGGCTCCGGAGCTGGACACAGGACTCCAGATGGAGTCTCACCAGAGCAGAGCAGAGGGGCAGAATCACCTCCCTTGACCTGCTGGCCATGCTTCTCTTGATGCAGCCCAGGACACAGTTGGCCTTCTGGGCTGTGAGCGCACATTGGTGGCTCATGTCAAGCTTTTCATCCACCAGTACCCCCAAGTCCTTCTCCACAGGGCTGCTCTCAATCCCCTCATCCCCCAGCCTGTATTGATAGCGGGGGTTGCCCTGACTGAGATGCAGGACCTTGCACTTGGCCTTGTGAGGTTCACACAGGCCCATTTCTCAAGCTTGTCCAGGTCCCTCTGGATGGCATCCCATCCTTCTGGTGTGTCAACTGCACCATTCAGCTTGGTGTCGCCTGCAAACTTGCTGAGGGTGGACTCGATCTCGCTCTCTAAGTCATTGATGAAAGAGTTATCCCGTGCGCAGTCCTCTAGCACCTTGATGGATCACAGCCTGGCTGCAGAGAGATGCTTGGATTATTACCCAATATAAACCCACTGGATGTTCATCCAAGAGGAATTCATCCCAGCTTCCATTTGTCTTCCCCTTCTCAGCTCACCTTTTGCAGTGCCAGCATGGAGAGTGGGCCAAGGGAACGGACAGAGACCAGCAGAGCCACCTTTCAGCAGTCCTGCTGGCAAAGGGAGTCCTGACGTTTATAGACATACCTCATTTCCATCGGGGCATATTTAGAATCGAGGAGTCCTAAAGAGCCTTGTTGTAATTTCCTGCTGTGGTGAATGCATTGGCACAGGGGAGAATCTCAGTGTACAGTGTTACAGTGCTTTTAGTGCTTTACAAAATAAAATATTTCTGTTTTCTTGCAGTGAAAGAACCAGAACATGAAGCTGCAAAGAAGACTAAGTGAGTTGATGTTTTACATTTTTTTTTTTTTACTTTAAAACTTTGCATGTCTTAATTCTTAACTGGTAGCGTTTGGTGCATTTGTGTGACATCCGGGTGTTTTTTAAATGTTGCTTGTGTTTTTGCATACTACTACAGCATGTAAAAATCAAGATCTTTTTCTGCATAGACCAACCTTTTTAAATCTGTTGGTGCAGTCCAGGATTAATGTTTGTGCAGGAGTTTGAGATTTTTCCGTAAACTTGGACCGAGTTGGTTTTCTGTACGAGGTCAGCTTGTCGACATGTTTTCATTTTCCTAAATCTAACCAGGCATTTTTGATTTGCGAATGTGGATCAGATTGCAAGGCATAGCTGGAAAGTATTACCATTCTGGACTGTGAATGAGGGTCAGCTGTTTCCTTGCTTTGGGATAAGCATTGTTCAAAATGAGGACCGACCAGTGGCTAAATCTGATGGTTCTTGCAGTCAGTGGGAGTTGTTCTACTGACTTTGCCTAACATTGGATCCAAGGTTTTGACAGAGAGGAAGGCAGTGTTCAGAGAGGAATAGTGCATGGAGATTGCATGCTCGCTTGTTAAACTACTTAGGACAAAGTTTCTTTCTTTTTTTCTTTCTTTCTTATTTTTCTTCTGTCACTTCTTTCCACAGGGAAAAGGTTCCCCTCCACGTCTTTAGCCCCAAATATACAAAATTACGTGACTGGCACCATGAAGTCTCAGCACGTGTTCTTAATGTCCAGTGATTTTACCCAAGTTGCAAAAGCGAAATACAAACACTTCTTTCCTTTCTTCTTTTCCATCTGCTTTGAAAAAATAAAAAAAAAAGAGAGAAAATGTATTCCCTAGCCTTACTGCGAGAGAAATTCTAGCCTTTTCTATACTTTTCTAACACTTTCCTACTGGTGTGTACAAAATGAGATGAAAATGTTCTTGTGCTAGTTGACGAAAAATATGTATTTAAAACAGAACAACTTGGGTGACTGAATCTCCCAAAGTGGGGGAGAAAGTGGCTGTTGCTTTTCTTTTTTTTGCCCTAAAGGAGTCATTTGCATTGCTGAGTTAGAGTTACTGTAGGTTGTTAGAAAGCACAAAATTATGAACAAAAGAATAAGAAATTGTATTACTTCGATTTTTGGGGCTGGGGGAAGATGATGAAGAGGGACTGTATACACTTACTTCCAACTAGTGTACTTCCCAGGATAATTATCTTGGATTTCACTAGATTTTCAGCAGATCAATTTTAGAGTGTCTGTAAATGTTTTACAAAGTAGAGTAAGAAGACAGACTGCTTTTAAGCAAATAAAAAATAAATGGAAAAAAAAGATCCTATGTTGCGAATCGAAGTGCAAGGTCAATATAAAGATTCTGCTGCTTAAACTAGTAGTATGTTCATATTGTGGAAAACATAGGAGAAATTGAGTGGAATATTGCTGTGTACCTGTAAGAGCTTCAACACATCCTCTAACAAGAACAAGATAAGATGGTCGTATTTATTTATTACAGAGTGAAGTTCATAGGTTTTATTGTGTTTATAAAAGCTTTCATGGCCCTATGGTTCTCCTGTAAAATAATGTATTATAGTAGCTACACATTCATTAATTTATGCTTTCTGAAGCTTGAAGAGTATTTTAATAAAAGTTGCTTTTATCTTAGCTCTGTCTGTTTTTCTTTTGAGTCTCTCCGACTCCTTGAATAATCTTCTCATGCATGAAGCTCTAATTTCATTGCACCTTCACAGGTTATAGTATGAGAAACAATTAAATCCCTGCTCTGCAGTAGAAACAATCTGAATTGTACAAAACTGTCCCAGTAGTAGAGCTCCTGATCGTGTTAAAAATGGGATATGTGGTTGTGTTGTCAAAATCGAGATGAGATTTGCAGAAATCAGTAAAATGGTTGACCTCTTGGGGGGCTACAGGAGTAACAATTGTACTGAGTAAACTCATTCTCGGCTTTTGCAATGCTTATTGAATCAGAGAAGTTTCGAACCTCAAAGGTGAATTCTAAACCACATATAAAAGCCCAGTATTTTGTAACTGCTTGATTAGAACAATTGCAATTGGCTTGCAGTTTGTGCCACTGACCGACATGCTTTTCTGATGGAATTGGTCCTCTGAACAGATTGATGTCCACTGCAAATGTTTCTGCGGACTGGAGGGGTTGGGTTTTTCCATTGCACAACTTGGAAAAGTGGAAGGAATAGAGACCTTTGGAAGTATTTTAAGCTTGTGCTTGCTTTTCAGATGGTTTATACCACTATACAATACAGCAGTAGCTTATGGTATTCGTTGTTTTATCTTTAGGAAAAGCCAAACAGAAAATGGAGACTTCAGGTAATAGCCAAGTTATCTAACACTAACAGTCACCGATGTGGGTGCCTAACAAGCACAGCGTAAAGTACGATTAGATTTGCACTGGTAATGATGGATCAAGGCATATCACATCTTGCACACCTCTTGGGTTAACTCCTTAGGGACAGTAGGGGAAAATACTCACTTTAATAATTTTACTAAAGACTGTTTTGATGAGAAGTGCCAATCACTTTGATTTCCATGCTCTATCACGTAACTCAGTAGTGAGTACTGTGTTACTAAACCCAAATGCTTTACTGAGTGCACATACACCACAATATTATAATTTGATAGAATACTGCGTATTAAAGTAGGAATGTCAAGTAGAGTATTAAAATAGTTTTGCTGGGTTTAAAGAATTTTTTGTGAATGGAAAGGAAGACGGGAGTTTCAGAGGACATCAATGCAATGAGAACTGTGAAAGGTTATCACTTAAACTCTCTTGTAAGGTTTTCTTCCTAAGGGCCAAATGGTTTCACCTTCAAGTATTTTTATCTTGGAGATGTCCCTAGGTAATGAGAATATCTCAATGTTGGTATTTAACTTACGTTTCTGTATCTTGCTATCTCTTATCCCTTTTAAGGTTGAGTTGCTTTGTCGAGAAATGGAAGAAAAATATTTATTTTATTTATTATTTTTTTATATTATATTTATATAAAGTATAGAATCTTCTGTTTTGATGAAAATTAAACATAGACAGTCATGAAGTCTGAGGATATGAGAATAGTTTGAGAGAGGCTACCAAAATTACTAGTTTCCTATAAATTCATAGTAACAAATCACTGCTTCCAAAAATGTGTTCTGCATGTGTGAAATTGATCTCTTTTACTGCTTTGAAGATGTCATCTCTTCGCCCAATATCTCCATTGCAGAACGCTTGTTGACATTAAATTTTGGACTTTGTTACTGTTTCTAAAACAATGGACTGATTTTTCCATTTGTATGCCAATAACATTCCCTAGCTTGTGTCCAATTCCCAGCATTCACCTGATCTTTGAAAAAATATTCTGAGCAGTTTTTGATATAAATGAATCAGCTTACATTTCAGAGATCACCTGAAGATAAATATGGTGAACAATGAAATAGAAACTTCTCTTCCATCAGTAATCTACAGAGAAATATCCCAATTTAATATACTCAACATTTCATGCAGGCATTGTGCAAGACACATGCTCTGTGGATTTTGTTATTATTATTTATCCCTAAACTGTAACCCAGTACGGACTTTGGTGTGGATAAAATAGATTTTTCTCTTTTCAGCAGCTGGAAGGACAGGAAATAGAAATAGAAAGCCCTCACTGGAATGTGTAAATTGCAATTCTTAAACCAGTTACTTGAAGGTTAGAAAGGCAAAATCTAGACTTTATGTAAATTTTACTTATGTGTTTTAGTAAATGATTAGTTCTAATTCCGCAACACCCTGTTTCCAAATATGTTTTAGATGTTCACTTTTAACCCTTCCCCTTTGAGGAACCAGGTACAGATTTGGTTTTGGCCTTAATTTCTAGAGTCAGTTCATTGTCCTGAGTGAAAATGTGCCTGGGTTTTCCAGACTTCTAGTTTAGCTAATCCATAGCCACTGGAAAATATTTGTCCCACTCCTGGTCAGTCCTGAAACAATCTGTCATAAATCTTATATTTACTTTCTCCCCTGTATGTCATAAATGTCTGTAAAGCATGCCTGCAGATCTACCTAATGGAGCAGGAGCCCAGGATACCTGTATTAATCTGAATAAAAATTCCGTAGCTAGCCAGACTTTGGAGATGCTACCTGGACCAGAATTTCCATCCACACCTTTACCACCTATGAGGTTTGCTCTCTGATCATTCCTAAGTCTGTTCAATAATTTTCAGCACTTAGGGCTTCCTACTTTGTTAAGATACTTAATTCTGCATGCTAATATGTATATATATATTATAAAAAAAAAAAAAGCAGCAATGCCTATTCCTGTGGCTAGTTTAGTCTGCTCAAAACTCGTGGTTGTGATTGTTCTCTACCTTGTAGTTTACTTTTATTTTTGTATATTACAGTGAGATGCCTGATGGGTGCTTTTCTTGAAGTAGAGGGCTTTAAGACAACATTTTCTAGATTTCTTCTTTGTTCCCTATCACAACTGAAAAAATGAAAGGATGTGAAAAAATGCTGAGAAATATATAGTCTAACCTTCACAGAACTAACACCCTAAAAATGTTGCAGCGAAAGTGTATAAAACTTTGGGAGTGAATCCCACTAGCACTTGTGTCTGTTTCTTTTCCAGTATTTCCGAAGAGTTTTCCGTCGCATCGTGTAACACTACGTACATATATGTTCCACCTTTGTAAACGTAAAATACTACTTGGCTTTCTGTGTTTATAAGCAGCAGAACACTTCTCAGCCTTCACTGGAAGCATGACACTTCCTAAGTGTATTGTGCCTCATTTTATCCCCCTGTTTGGGTTTTGCTGTAAACTCCATGTTTTGCTTTGTTGGTTTTTTTTTTTTTTCCCCAATTTACTAACACTTTCATGCACAATGTCTCCTGTTCAGCATACTATTTCAGTGTGGATTAAAAATCTCTTTCTCTGTATGCCTTCATTTGGTTTTATTATTGTGAATGGAGTGAAAACGGTGCTAAGCCAGAACCTGCAGCTGCTCTTTTGCCGATAGCAGAGTCCTCCCCTGGCAGTGTCCCCTCTCCCAGGCTTTCTGAACACATTGCTGCAGCAACTCCTGGGAGGTAAATCGTTCAGAGGGGGGTTTGATTCAGTTAACAGTCTATCTGTACGTTATTCTATCCTAGATTTGTCTGTCTTGGGGGAGAGAGGGTTGTCTGTCATTTACTTAAAATAAACTTAATTAATCTGCCGTGACTAGGGATTTTCCTGGAAATGATAGGAGGGGGAAGGAGAAGATAAATGAAGTAAAGCTGAGCAGATTCATGAACAGTCTCCTGGATACCAGTCAAAATAAGGCACAGTGTTTAGTGTGTGGCTGTATGTTGGCAGTGGGTGTCCACCCTGTCACCTGGATGGAGTAACTTTTCAGTGTTCTCAACAACTTGAAAATGAATTCAGATTTCTTCACACAGAGAACTGCCTTTAAAAATACAAAACCAATTTTTTAAAAAGCAGATTATTTCACTCATAACACTGTGCTGTGCTATGATGCAATCAAAGAAAACTGGGTAATTGTCTGGCAAATTTCCTGTCATTGGCCTTGGATAGCTTCACAGACGCTTACCTCGGCAGACAGGTGATGTTTTGGAGGTCAGCTGTGGGTACTAGACAGCGACAGTAATTTTGTGTACACGACAGAGACAATAATTTGGAGGGTTATGATGCTGTTATTGAAGGTCAATAACGTTTCCTGACGGTTTGTGTTTCATAGTGCAGGAGTCTTTTTTTAATTCCAG